CAAGGACTCAGCCTTGGTACATGGGTTGCCAGCTCTACCCACTGAGCTAACCGGGCGCCCAATGCATCACACTTTACCTAAACCTGTAAACCCATGTTAGTCAACTAGACTAACGTGGGTTACTAGACTAATGTTAGTCAACTAGACTAACGTGGGTTTGGCTAAAACAGATGACTAAAACTGGCATTTTAGTCTAAAGACTACAACTTATATTAAATAAAATTATGCTATCAAAATTAACACTGGTTAAATTTCTGGCTATTTCAACTGGTAAAACCACAAATGAAAACAAGTCATTTGGGGGCAGAAAATATATTTCAGGGACAAGATAGGAGCTGTAATCAGTATTTGGCAAGTGAAAAAATTGCATGCATTTTATGGGTTGTATTGGCCTTTTGAAGGTATTCAGCTGGAGAAGTTAGTCTGTGAGCTATAACCTTGAAAATAAAACTATCACAAGTAAAATCAAGTCATTTTAAGGTAGAAAATACCTTTTTAGTCACAAGATAGAAGCTGTAATCACTTTTTGGCAAGTAAAACTGCATTTGATGGATCGTATTGGCCCTTTAAAGGGGCTTTTTACACATGAAGATCAGTGTTCCCATCAAGGTTATCTTAGCTTCGTCCTGTGAACTTTGGGAACTAAAACTCAGGATATCTCTGCCTCTGCTTATTTTCACCATTCTATCGAATATGTATCTCTCGCAGTTTATGGAAGTGCACCGCAGCTAAATCACTGGAGAAGCCCTTTAAGTTTACAATCCACTCTAAAGCATAGGATGGTAAGGGTTGTGTGTACATTGCAAATGATAAGAAAACACAATAAATTATGCAGATTCTACAATACATTGCAGAAATACCTCTCTGAACATTTTAAGACAAAATTTTATTTTAAATGCATACATTACACACATACATCTTTTCATCTCTTATGGTTTCACTTTTGTACTTTTGTACATGTATGTATATTTAATGATATATATTTGTCAATATACTGTACTGTATATGTATTTACCTATGCTCTGTGTGTATGTATGTCTACATATATTCATGTATGTATGGAGGTTTATGAATAGGAATATTATGTACTAGCAAAGGTACAGTATAGCATTTGTTTTAGCAGCAAAGGAGACAATAGTGAGATGTTCCACTGATAAATTTAATTTGAAGTAAGAAGTAATTCAAAAATGTATTTAGTAATTTAATATAGAAATACGTATATTATGACAAGTCTATGTGCACGTGCTGACTCCAGGCAGAGGAGTGAACGCTGCCCTGAAATAGAGATCATGTCTAATCCTCCAGTTGAATATGTGTACAGCCACAGGCCCAGGAAGTGCTAAGTACCTACTATTCTTCCTGGGTGCTCAGAAGACCCACTGGCTGGTACAGCTGAGAAGGATAATCCATTTCTGCCAGGGGGAGAGGTGGAGAGGGAGACTACATGGCTCATTTAACCGAGTTGTATTACTCGCAGGCTTTTAAAGACAGGACATGCCTGAGGGGAAGACTCCTGTGTGAGTCTGGGTGTGTTTGTACATCTGTGTCTGTGGATATGGAAAGTGAATGATGAAGAAACAAGTGCAAGGAGCTGCAAAAACAAGTAAAACTTGGAAATGGAAGATGTAATTGCAGTGTCTGACTGCAGGTACGTAACACCATCAATATCCACATGTAGAACCCCCCTGTTCAGTTGGCTGGCAAGTGTGCATATTAAAGTTGCAGTAGGTAACTCTTATAAAAATAACTTTGTCATATTTGCTTAAACTTTGATTATATCTATATCCTGACAGTAGAACATGAGACAGATAATCTGTGAAACAATTAGGTTTCTCTGGCTACTCCTAGTGCTCCTAATGGTATCTGCAAGGTTCAACTGGGCCTGAACAAAAACAACCCAATAGAGCACCCCAAGAAAGAAGTCGATTGTTGAAAATCTCAATCTCCCAGCCGTTATCAAAGCAGACACTTTGGAATAAGACTCAGCAATCACTATGAAGCACTTTCCTATCTTTTTCTGATTGGTTGTTTTCGTTCAGTTCCGGTCATTCTTAATATACATTAGGGGCAACTAAGGAGGAGGGAGAGAAAGTAACTCCTCGACTCAACCCTTTTTGAAACACACATGACCCTGTCTAAACTCAGTGTTTGGTTTGTTTGTTCGGCACGGTAGAAACATTGCAGTTCAACATATATCAATATTATATTCAACATGAAAAATCTAAAGGAAAATCTAAAGGAAAATGATTGGTAATAATAAATTGTGACAACAATCTCTGGGTGATGCAGTGCTTTACTGAACATTGTGTTTATTTTTTCAAACAATTAAATGTGACAATTATTACCTCATATGTCATACTGTAAATAAAGACAGACGGACCAAAAAGAGGAATCCAGGGTGTATTCCACTAGACAACCAGGAGACAAGCTGGTGTACAAGACACTTGAACACACACACACACTACACACACACCTACACACACACTCCCTCTCTCTCATCCTGATTTGACCTGAGATGACCTGCCAGACCCTCCCAGACCCTGCTAGACCTTGTTTACCCTGTTGCCACACTGCCATCTAGTGACCATAGGACATAAACCTGTCAGTTACCACTAAGAATATAAATATGTGTGTAAGGCTGCTTTTTCAGTTTTTATTATTCCAACTGAGGGTATCTAACTAAATGTGTGCTAAGAGCAGTAGTAGAAATATCAGTCAGGAATGTCATGTTAAATGGTGTTATGATTATGTGGTAAAGATGTTTAAACCATGTTTTCTGAAAGTTTAAATAACCACAATGCCATCTCATGTCTCAAATCACACCTTTGGAACCTTAGTGAGACTTCTACGCGCAAAACTTAAATGAAATTCACTTGAGTTAGAAAACCTGAGCCACCATCTTAGGTACAAGTTCCAGGCAGAGGAATTTACATTCTGCTACCAACCAGATGTTTTTAATTTGATTAGTTTTTTGAGGAAAAGATTTCTTTTTAAAGCTGATGGTGTGGATTCCTTGAATATTATTGAATTCAGAATGATTATTAAGTCACTTTATTCTGGAAGGATATCTTCAAAAAGAAATGACAACCTTAAAAAAATTGGGAGAGACAGGGTTTACTGAAGTTGACTGAAAGGTGGTAATAATTACATGTTTGTATTATTATTACTATTGTTATTAT